TCTTTCAATATGAACTCAAGTCTTTTTATCTGAGGAAAGTTTTCTTAGGTTATTGGTCTTTTTTTAAAAAAAAAACTTCTCATTTTAAAATACATTTTAGATATACAGAAGAGTCGCATGAGGAATGCACAGAATGCCTGTACACCCTTGACTCTGCTTCCCCTAATGTAACAATTCACAGAAACACAGCACAATCATCAAAATCAGAAATTAGCATGAAATACTATTAACGAAACAACAGACTTTATTTGGATTTTGCGTTTTCTCACTATTATCTATTTTTGGTGTCAGGATTTTGTCCAAGGTTTCACATTGCACTTAGTTATATCTCCTCAGTCCCCTACAGTCTGTAACAATTCTTTGATTTTTCCTCCTCTTTCATTTTGACATTCAAAGAGTACTGGTAAGTTATTTTGTAGAATGTCCTTCAGTTGACTTTGTCCTATGTTTTTACATGATTAGAATGAAGTTATGCAACATTTGCAGTTATACTGCAGTAATGATACTATGTAACTTCTCAGTGAGTCATATTTAGGGGTTTATTAAGTCTTTACTGGTAATAATTGATTTGTTTTATGCGACCACTGGAGCAGGCGCCAGAGATGAGGCAAGCAGGCAAGGTAAAAAAACTTTACTAGCTAGCCAATGTGAAGGAGGAAAGGGTGAGGTTCACTGGTCTCCGGCGATGGAGGCCGAGGAAGTCGCTCTGGCATTCTCAGGCGAGGTTCCTAGGTCCGCATATGAGGAGGGGCCGAGGAAGTTCGCCCCGATGTCTTCCGGGAGCGGCCTTTTATGGGTGGGGCTCAAGGTGGGCAGGACAGGGGCGGGGGGTAAGGGCATCTTCATAGGCGTGGCTGGGTAAGTTTCGGTTTCTTTGTTTTGACGTCACAATGCGCAGGCGCAGACAATCGGTGTTTTTCCCGGGCGGGGGAGTTTTTCCCAGGCGCGGGAAAGTAGCTGATGAAGAACCTGGAACTGTGCCATCTTGTTTACCTTCCTTACCTTCTTCCATCTTGTCCTTTCTCCCTCACCCAAACAATAATGAACTTTAATCACTTATCTATCAGGTTTCTCTTCTGTAAAGCTACAGTCTTTCCCTTTGTAATTCATACGTACCTTGAGGGACGTACCATGAAACAATGCAAACCTGGTTCTTCAACTCTTGCCCACTCATTTGGCATTTTTCCTTCAGTAAGATGGGCCCCTAATGATCTCTCCTCCCCGCAGTATTTAGACTCTTGTGTAACCTCCTACATGGTCTCGGGGTTGGTATGTTTGGCAGAAGTAATATATGCCACTTCTAAGATTAGGTGATAAAAGACACCGGGGCTTTCCTTGTAGGCATGCTTTTTTATGTGTTCTGTGTCTCCCTCTCTTGGATCACTTCTTCCATGGACAGTCAGCTGCTATGTTGTTAGCAGCCCTATGGATAGTACTTAAGGGTCTTACCACAGGCCCTTTTCTCTCTGGATGAGAGCCATTCCCATGGCTTCAGTTACAATTTGTTGGTGATGACTCCTCTGAGCATCTACCCTTCAAACCCATCAGTTATCACATCCCCATCAATTATCACATCCCCATTTGGATGACTCACAAAAGTCTCACTTTCAACTGGTCAAAATCTGTACACATCACTTTCAACTTTATACCTGGATAAAGTTGATTCTAGCTCATGAAATAACATGACCAACCATTAGGCCAGAGCATAAGTCGTTTCTGTCACTGCCCTAGTATACACCATACACCATCCTCATCTCTCCTCTGGCTACTGAGTTACCCTCCTGAAGGGTTGTTCCAAATGTTCTTGTTACCCTCCTCTCATTCTCTTGACCTACAGCCTGCTTTTGTAAGTAAGTCTTATTGGAACACAGCTATGCCGATTCACACACACACACACACATCCATATGCATATATATGTGTATATATATGTAGGTGTGTGTGTGTATGTCTTGGATGCATCTGTATTATAATGGCAGAGATTAATAGTTGTGACAGAAACCATCTGGCCCTTTATACAAAAGGTTTGCTTACCTATGCTCTAAACTGAGGCAACAACCAAAATAGAAAAGGTTTGCTGACCTCTGCTCTAGGCAATAACCAAAATAAAGGCCACAAAGCCCAACATCTGTAACATTACTCAAGCAGCCAGGATCTGATTTGATTCCCGCCTATTGTTCCTGCACCAGCAATTACTAATGCTCTTCTGCTTTCTATGCTTTAACCATACAGTACTTCCTTCAGTTTCCTCAGTGCAACCCTGCTTATTCTTATTTCAGGGTCTATGTGCTGCACTCTTCAGAATGCCCTCCCCCATTCCCTCCTTCACTTAGCTCACCTCTACTTTTTTTTCAGGCAGGTCTCGGCTTAAACATCATTTATTCCACATAACCTTCTGTGAACTTCCCAAACTAAATGAGTCTATTGATTCCCATAGCCTAACTTGCTGATAACATCCTGTTGAACTGTAATGACATAATCAGTGTTGTTTTCCACCAAGACTGTAAGCGGACACGGACCCTTTCTGTCTTGTTCAACGTGGGATCCCTAGAACTTACTTTAGTATCTGGCACACCTTAGGCACTCAATATTCTTGGCCGTCCCTTACGTTACTGCATTCTGTCAACTCTCTTCAGATACTGTCCACATCTTTCTGTCCCCACCACAACTCCCCTACTTGAGCCAACTATCCTGTTGTATCTGGAGTCTTTCAACAGACGCCTGGCAGGTTTCCCCACTGGTGGATTTTTCTCCAGGGTGCAGCCAGGTTGACTTTTCTAATGCAAATCTGATGTCACTCTACTATCTAAAGCCCTAAAATGGCTTCCTATTGCTCTCTTAAAAAGTCTAAAACCCTCAGCATGGCTTACAAAACTCTTTGTAATTTAGATTTTACCTACCTCTCAAAAGCACCTATGCTTACAGTCAAACTGATTCCCTTTCACATCCACAAGTGCTCTCTCCACTCTTTGCAAACAATATTCTCTATGCCTGCCTGAATCACTATTCTCCACACCTGTTTCACCCAGAAAACGCCTATATAATATTTAGGGATCATCATCTCTCCCCACTGGAAGCCTCCTCATACACTCAAGTCTGGTTTAGAGGGTCCATCTATAGCACCTTCTACTCTACTTCTCTTCTCCAAACACACATACCGTTTGTAACATTAATCATATAGAAAGCGAGGTGAGGGAAGGGACTATCTGACTTCTTTTCCACTGTATTTCCAGTATTTATCACAGCGCTTGGTACACAGGAGGAGCTCAGTAAGTATTTACTAAATAAATGAATTTAAATGCTTCAACATTGAAGCTATTTTGCATCATTTTAAAAGAAAACTTTGAAAGATTTCATTGTCTTATTAAATCTTATTGTGACTTCCAATCCTACGCCTCACTTTATCCTACAAATCCAACACGAACCCCACACTCATTTGAACCAGCACCCCTAATTCTCTTATCAACTTATATTGCACCCTTTACATACTGTATCTGTCCAATCCCCAGTTAATTTAGCAGTCTAATTTCTATCCTTCAGGTCCTAAGCTGCTCAACTCTGGGGCTCCATAAAGTTACAGAATCTTTCTAACTGGCTCCATTAAACTTAGGTTTTCTAACCCCACTCGGTTGTGGATATAACTTCAGTGGTGCTTCCCCTTATTTCTGGACTGTTCTCTCTCCAGCATATGTCTAAGCTTTTGCCACTTATCTGAAGCCCCTAGATATGCTAGGCCTGTTCACTCTTGGTACATGATCCTGCTCCTTTGTCACCAAGAGAAGAGGGGATAAGACACAAATCCTCTTTTTTGCTCTAGACTTTCTTCCTTTTCTCTGTATCTTTCCCCTGAACCTGAAGCTTTTATCTGTGCTTCTGACCCCACTCCTTCTGGTCTGTTCTTGGACTCTACCTCACTGATTTTGGTACTGTCACATCTTACATTAATTTAACTTGCACAAAGGCAGCTCTACACAAGGTTCCACTGTGTTTTCACTGTGTTGCATCAGCTGAAGTCACATTCATTCCACTGCTTGTAGATTACTGTACACTAAGATGGCAGGTCATAGCTCTTCCATACCTGATATGCCTAATTAATAGAGAGGCTGAAGTGTCACAAATAGAGAAGTGATCGTGTTGCTGTTTTGCCCACTCCAACTCATCCCTGTTGAACTAAGCAGTGCTTAATATCATCTAGCCAGATCATAAGGCAGAGGAAAGAACTATGTGCTGTGAATGGGACTGAGACACAGTCATAAGTCATCTGCTCTCCCATAATCATCGATTATCAGGCATCCTCACCAATGAATTCATCTTCTCTTGGCGATTTGATTCTAGTGGTTAAAACCATGCTTTGTGCCCCCCCAACCCCCAATATGATCTCAAATATAAGCCATCAACAGCCATTTGAGAGTCAGCAATTAGAATCCTGGAGATAATACAGAGTCTTAGACCATATCTCCTCCCATACTGCTGTTTCCTCTAAGCCTTCAGTGCTTTTAGTCAGCATCTTTTCTAAGTCACAGAAATCAGTAAATATCGGAATACATAAAACAGAAAGGTCTGAAGAGAAACGGACTGCTAGCTGATAGATGGCTGGTGAGCTTCAGGATGGAAAGGTAGGGGTGAAGACTGTCAATTCAAACAAGAATGCAAACCACTCAAAATAAACATTCTCCTAAAGCAATAAACATTTCTGAAGTCTGGCTGGGAACTTTCAGAAAAGAACACAGACCACAGCAGCTGTGTTCCTCAGATCTACATACTCATTTCCTTCTCCCCCTACCAAACACACACACTTAGCAAAGACACTGATTATGAGACAAGGACTGAAGAAGCAAGAACTAGCTCTGCAAATAAAAAAAAGGCAAAGCAAACCCTTTACATACTTACTGCACCCTAAAGCAACTACTAATTATGTTATGCTTTGATCTTTTCAGCCATGTTCACTCACATATATTACTGTCAATATCTTTGGGGGAAAAAAAAATGTAAGCAGTAAACATTTTAAGGACCTTTCACAAACCAAATGACAGCAGGTTTTTATTAACATATCTTACAATGTTGATTATTCCTAGTTTTGTAATTTCTGCTTAATTATAAAGATCAATTTAGCTTCTACAGTAATGTACTGTATTTAAATGATCATTCATACAAGATATCACACCAGTACATTTTTTTGAATAATATACACACATCACTCTAACTTGGACCTGTTATTTTTAAAAGTGGGTTTATAAATGGGACTTATAAAAGTTATGGGGAAAAATTAAAGTTCTAGTTTAGCAGCATGCATGTATGTATTCAAGTACAATTTTCAACCAAGTGCTTTTTTAAAATTTACTGGTGACTAATTCACCAATATCAAAATAAACACTATCAAACACCCAAATTTTAAAGTTAAGGCTAATATTTTCACTTCACATCCATATGCACAACCATAAAACATTCCATTTTAAATAAGTAGTAATCAAAGTCTGAATACATTATACCATGTATATATAGCATCAGAGTTTCAAACTGTAGAATTATTCAAGTTCATGAATCCTGTAACAGTATTTACTAGAGATGTAAATTAGCATTTTGCTCTTCAACCACACTTACAAATGGTCTGGTATTCATAATGATCAATGCAAAAAGTATGACAGGCTGAACTTATGATACAGTATTTAAAAAAGTAGCAATGTGTTGGAAAGGACAGCTATTTAGTCAAACAGAATCATTTGAGTCTTACAGAAAGTTATCTTAATATTTTGGAAATGTATATAAAAATAGCAAGCTATTTCCATGTATTTTATTGTAGAACTATAGGTAATTTTTTGACTTTGTGAATACATTTGAATATGTACTGCTCTGCTTTCCATATTTTAATGCAAGGCCATCATTTAATATCCATTTTTATACTCTTGTAATGTCATGTCATTACAAACATTTTTTAGAACATGGATCTGACATTATTTTTATACTTTATCATTAGATTTGTTTAGTTTATTTTTACATGTAAAAATGTAATTTTATGTAACAAGCCATGGAAGTCCAAAGTACCAGGGATAGCTTGATTTGATAGCACTATATGTTAAATAATCAATTACCGAATCATTTAGGAAAAAAAATCTTTGTAGCAATATATCACATGCTTTTCAGTAATTTTCCTTCTCATAGAGTGGGTTTTAGCTCAATCATTCCCATTTTTACTGATTTTTAAACCCTGCAAACATAAATTGTTTTTCACAGCAGTTTCTAAGAAGAATGCAGAAGCAAGGCTCATTCATGAGGGTCATCACCACTGTGCCTTTTTTTTTTTTCCTTTTAGGAAACCAAGCAGAAATAGCAGTGATTACACTGCACAAATACAATATAGCTGAACCTCTTGAGCTGAAAGAAAGTTCCAAAACTTATGGTTCATTTCTGGGGAAGTCTGAGCATTTCTAATACAATCATTACTTGTTTAGTAATAAAAGGTGGGCATGCACAGAATCAACATCTGCCCAATGTATGTACCTCTTGATTTTATAGTAAGATTTGTTATTACCTCTAGTAATTCATCCAACTTGAAATGGCAAATTTTGATTTTTAAGGACCCCCCCCAACCACACATATGCCCCCCAAAATGTACTGTATTATATTAACAGCAGCTATCTACTTATTTTACAGCTATTTCAATTATTTACCTGGGGAGAAGATTTATGAAATTCCTGAGAATGAATTCAGTTTTCAGCAAAGCCTTAAACTTTTAACAGATTCCTCACAATAAGAAAAAATTTTAAAGTTCTACTATTAGACCAACTTTTACTATACAATATTTCACATAAATCATGTTTTACATTTTTTTCTAATTACATACAGAAAAATTCTCAAATCAACACAAGAATGGCAGAGGAAAAAAGATGCATTATGCTTAGCAGATGCAAATTAAAACACAGAAAGAAGCAGTAAAATGTCAAATAAATCACACCCACTCTAAGTATCAATGAATAGCTGATATGCATTGTTGGGAGAATCATTTCTGAATGAGTTTGTGAACAAGTTGTGCTTCTTATTAATTGTGCACTTAAAAAATGACCACTAAAGAATAATTTAACTTGTTATTAATGTTTTCCAGATATTAAAGCAAATTATTATACCATTAACGTGATTACCAAGCACCTAATTTTGGAAAGGCTTCATAATATATGTTTTCTTTTTCTCCCTCAGCAAAAGTGTTAATCCCCCAAATTAAGTTAAAGCTTATCGTTGAAAAATAAATTCGTAGCGAAAATGATGATATGATGCAATGCTGAGGTGGAGAGTCACAGCCCATTGTAATGTGGACCCCATCTTTTATTGATGTGATCAAAAGTATGGGAAATCCACTGTTGCTCAAGAACTTTGTATCTTTCCTTACAAATGTAGAGAGGTTTGCCTCGCCTAGAATAAAAAGAAAAAAAAAGTATTAATATCATACAAGGAAGATTTCACTTGCATTTCTTTCTTCTTTTTTTTTTTTTGAGACAGTCTCTCACAGTGGAGCAATCTCAGCTCACTGCAACCTCCACCTCCTGGATTCAAGCAATTCTGTCTCAGCCTCTCGAGTAGCTGGGATTACAGGTGCTCACCACCATGTCTG